CATTTCTATTGATCATCAATAGACGTGCGTGTTTAAGTCGTTCTGCTGACTGGATTAGCTGTGCTTCATTGTCGTCTGTGAGGATAGGGTGTCAATAGACATTCACAAGACCTTAAATGAAGTGCTTCCAGCCTACAACTGCACTTTAAGTATCTGGTGATTATGGATAGCGCTCATTTTAAGGGATAGATTAAAAACTCACTGCTAGTGAATTGTTTGGTTACATGTTGTGGTGACCGATATGTGTTTCTCAGCACATAAAACAGCGCTGCTTTACCCCACATACACACGACCGGGAAGGAGCAGAAGTGCTAAAGTGTTGCATAATAAAAGCTGCGCTGCTTTCGAGGCTTGTTTTGTAGAAAACATGGAAACACCAAAGACGCTTTAATATGTGGTGCGTTTTAATAGACCGGTGATGACCGCACAGAGTAGAACGTAACACTGCTAGTTAAATGCAGATCAGATTAAGTGTTTTGGTGCACATATGGAGAACTGTCGTTTCGTTGCTTTCATGAATCAGTTTTGAGTTGAATGATCTGCACCACATCATGTTATTGTGTATTTGTATGATATCTGTGTGTACGCCTACATGCATTCCACAGATCTGTTACAACGTTTGCTATGAGACCACACCCCCACAAATGAAACCTGAAAATGACTCAGGGATATCTCACTTATTCAGCAGTGATCAGCTGGTTTTCATGCATCATGAATGTCGTCATAGAATGTCAACTGCTTAATTATTCTAGTCTCGCATTACTTAGCACTATTAATGTGTGACAGTTTGTTGATGTAATAATTCATTTGTTTAATTGAAATTAGAACATCCTGACCATTGTTATTAAACCTGTGGTCTCAAATATGCAGTAGCAAAGAGAAATACTACACGGACAATAGAACCATTTAGATGTCCTTGAAAATCTCTTTGGGGACTGGCAGTTTATATTTTTTTGGATGGTAATAGCAAAATCCAAAGTTTCTGTTTCATAAAAGTTTCCATGTATTCCATGAATTTCCAACTCTGGTGGGACTTTTTGTCTAGGTAAATTTTTTGATCCAAATTAAATAGAATATAGGTCATGAACAGTGTCATGTGACTAGGCCTGTCGCAATAATCAATATATCGACTTATCGCGCAATATATGTACATGACCTCAATCATTTTTGGTGATGCATTATATCGCCCATTATATTTACTTAAAAATGAATGTCACCATGTTTTGTACATTCCATTTGCGCCTGTGTCTTTTGCAGCTTCTCATACATAACATGATGTAGTCATGAGGTGCTAGTTCAAGTTTAAAAAATGCTTCTACAAAAAAAGTTTCATCTGCAGATATGGTCTTGTTTAGGAATCTGTGCCTTTGTGCATACGGACATCTGACTGCTAAGTAGTGATTGTGTTTTTCAGCAATAGTGTGCACCCTTAATTTACAGAGAAAAGAAGGTCCGGGAAAAATCTGTAGATGGAAAAATCTCCATACAAGTTCTTTGTGCATTTGTCTTTTTTTCTGCTTGTTACTTTGCACTTTTTGTTAGAAAATGTTTATTTACTATTTATTCAGGTTTTTTAAGGTATCTAATATTTTGATACTTAATTTCCATGATCTAAATATTCTTAAAAATTAAAAGTTTGTTGTCATTTGGAAGTGTGTAGGCCTTCTTGCATT